ACAATTTATTTTGAGACGTTGACAAGACACACAAAAAAAAGAAGAAAGCAAAACAAACAACCAACATATATTGCATACTTAATTTGTAAGTATTACTCGTAATTAAAATTATTATATAACTGCAGAACAACAAACAAAAGCAACATCAACCAGAAGAAGCAACAACAGCAAGTAACACCCAAGCATCAACTATTGATATTGATGATAAATAAATATATAAAAAAATAAATTTTAAAAATTACATCAACATGCGAGTTTTTACTGGATGAATAAAGAAATACCTTCGGTTTACATCGGATAACTTTGTATCTGAAATGAATCAAGGAATACCATGCTAAGTTCTAGGACCCAATACGCGATCTGGTCACTCCCAATACGCGATCTGGTCTTTGATATGTTCAGTATCAATACCTTCTTGATTTTTATATGTGTTACGGTAGCTTAGTGAAGTCTGCGATATTTATACCCTCAACAGCACTTTTTAGCATTGGAATTCCCCCGGCTGAAATGATATTGCTGTGCCGTAAGGCTTTCAATTGAAGCGATTTATGTGAGACCTGCATATTTACCTTGATCACGACGTTCCGTTTAGTGCTATTGCGCAGCCGGATACAAACGATATTCAAGTTCTGAGATGGATTAGTTGTACATCAGCACTTCAAAAATGTATTCCTCAAAAAAAGCATATAAAAAGCAATGTTCTTTGTGTGAATTTCGGCGTTGTATTTAGATGTTTTTGCTATGCATTGTAATGTACTTGTATACGGATGTACATACGTATGTATATATACAGTAATTGACTAAACTTAAAAAAAATACAAGGCGAGTAAAAATCCGATAGAGCAAACAAAGTGAAACCTCAAATTTTTTGAGTTCACAGGCACGAGAACGAAATTTTTATATATTTAGAGGTGATCGAATATGGATGAGGGTGGTGTTTTGGTTTTCAAGTGAGGGAAGGAACTTACAATAATTACAAAAAAGTACAAATGTATAATATACAATATATAAATCAGTGTATGCGCTTGGCCCGCCTCGCTTAGCTTCGATGCGATAGTAAACTTTAAGTCTTATAGTCTAAGATAACACTGCCCCAATGTTTTGATTTACTAAAATATGATTTTCACGGATGCTCATGGGCGACTCGTGTTAGACACGGGAAAACAGTCAGATGCTCGATTGATCTTTTTTGTAACAGTGAATTTATAAGAGCCACAATATTAATAGATACGACCCATAATGGCACCCGCAAATGCAATCTATTTAACAAACCATCTTGAAGGGCAGAGTAATTTGCGCATACTTTTCTCAGGGCTTTTGGCTTTTTGCTTTTTCCATGTCCATCGGTGTCCATCGATTTTATTCCATTTTCATTAGTGAAACTGAAGGAAGAGGGAGCGATCGCAGGCCTCTTCCAGCAAAGCTTGCTGCCGAAGCTTTTCCTCGGGAGTGAGTTCTTTCACCAGTTCGTCGAAGCCATCGTCCGAGTAAGTAGGTTCTTCATCGACCGTGCCCCCATCAATCTCTTCACCGGTGGCAACTGGCAAGAGTGGCTCGCCTATAATGCTACGTATGTCATTGGGCAACGTTTCTGAGGCCTTGAGTTGCAGGTAGATACCCTCAGCTACCTGTAAGGTTTTTTGAACATCTATATTTCCAGACAGTTCGTTTACATGCTTCAGGATTTCTGTGAACTCATACTGGCTCTCGATGATCACTCTGGTCTCCTGATCGAGAATAGCCACCGAGAATAGTAGGTGGAAGTTAGGACAGGGCAGCCGAGTCCACAGACATTCCCATAGCTTCAAAACGTCCTCGTTGTTTAGCTCTCGCTTGTACCAAACCAAGAGCCATCTGAAGCAGAAGTACATGTTGTCAGAGTCGTGGGATCTCATGTAGTTAAATAGCGGGGCATTGGCGAATTCAATTAGGCGACGAATCTGGGCGAACTGCGTCTTCATACCCGCCTGGTCTATGTCAAAGTTGGTGAACACCAGCTCCATGAAGCCCACAAAGCACCAGAAGGCGTCCACCTCGTTCACTTGGATCTCCAAAATGGGCGCAAGCAGATCGGACATTCCCTGAACATAACCAAGATCAAAGTTATACATCACGTAAGTCATAAGGATACCCTGGAGAAGGGTTAGATTGGGGTTATCCTCCCCGGCAAAGAATTGCAGAGAGCGATCTGTGCGTTTCACATCCTTTTCAATCTGACACTTGCGCTCCCGGTAGCCGCAGAAGTTCGCCTCCTGGGCCGTAGTCATGGCCAGCCACTGGGCCTTCATGTTGTAGTACTCAATAGACTTTTGCTTACGGCGCTCGATCCGCTCCACGTGAGTGTCAGACCAGAGGTAGTAATTGAGAAGGAACTTCCATACCTCTGGCCGCAGGCTCTGCACGACGCCGCCGCGGAAGATTAGCTCTTTGATTCGGACGCTATCGGAAATTCGGCCGTCGGGTGTCTGGAACTCCAGCCACTGAGTTTCGGTTAGGGGAAGACCTGTCAAGATTAAATATATCAATAAATTCATGTTAAAAGTTACTTTTAGAGTATTCCTAAGGTTTTTTAAACTCAAATATAACATCGAGTCGAGACTCTCTTTTAAGATAAGAATTAATATCAACCCACCTCTCTCCACCCGCTGGCGATCAGGCAAGTTGTTAACTATTTTTTCGTCCTGAGCATTAAGTGTTTCCAGCTCGCTGTCGGCGGGAGACTTCTCTGCACTGCCCCCACGACTCTGTCCGTTCGAGGAACAGGCGCTATTCGTGCTGCCACTTAGCCCAATAATTTGATAATTGTCCGGTGAAGTCTGCCGATCGCCAGAGATCAATACTCCTGGCCTCGGTTTGGGTGAGCGCTGGAACGGAGGCTGTACGTAATCGGGAATGTTGCCCAGGAATCCAGCCAGCTTGTTGGGCAGCCAGCTTTCACGCGGCAAATGGCTGGCCTTAATCTGGCCAATGTCAAGTTCTGCGAACGTCTTTTTTAATTTTTGGTTCTCGGTGGTCAAGATGGCATATTCCTCGCCGCCGCTGCGGCTGGTTTCGGCGTTCTCGATTAGGTGCTGATCGCGCATGGAGCGCACAAATAGGTCTGCGTTTCCGTGCTGGAAGAAGAACTCGCTGTGGACGCCATTAGCTCCTTTCCGCATAAAGCGGATCGTCTGCCCGCGATGGCGCACCTCTACAGACGACAAGTCTTCCAGTTGGGCGCGCATGATTCGCGAACGGGTATTCGCCCCACCGCTTGGTTCAATAGGCCTAGTGTTGAAGGCACGGCACTCGGAGGTGGTGCGTGTTCGCCCCGAAATCCTGTCTACCAGCGCCCAGTCGCCCTGGTCCTGGCTGTCGTCCGCAATCATGATGCTGTCATTGGGCTGCCACTCCAGTAACAGTCTCCTGCGGGGCAGTTCCGCGGAGGATCGCGAATATTCCACCAGGGAAAGGGAGCCGCTGGTATTCAGATCCGCGATGTGCTCCGCACTGGCTTTTTTCAGGAGCACGCCGTCGTGGGTGAAGAGGATCTTTGGATCGGGAAACGGAAGAACGTAATGCCACCAAGAAAACCATGAGTCAGGTGAAAAGCGAGACACTTACGTTTCCCGTTCCCTGAGGAGGCAGATTCTGGACGTCCTCCTCTACAGAAGAGAACTGTGATTCGCTTAAAACGCCCAGATGCACTTGGTGACAGCGGTCATATCGCACCGATTCGTCCATGGCCGGCGATTAGATCTTCCTGTGTTGAATTTCAACTTAGCCTGCGCTATTACGTTTCAGATATAAACAATTGTCCCACGGCAGGTGCTAAATTTTACATGAAAGCGCTTGGTTTGGTGGTATTTTATCACCGAGGTAAAAATGGCCACATTCTCTGATTTTATTCTGTCGATGTGGCAGCTTAGATTACAATCAGTCTGGCAACCAAATTTGTCAGGGGCACTTTAAAACCATTGTTAATTGCAATTACAATTGAAAACGGTTACTAGTCAAGACTTCATAATGTTTCTGTTCTCCTCTCTTCAATGCAGACGCTTGTTTCAAAAATATTTTATCTCGTTTCTATAGATTTAAGCGCCGGGCGGGCAGAAGAGGTCGTATCTCCAGAATTTCCAGAATCTTTAATGTTCTTGAGTAAAGGTGAATGGTTAAAAGTGCAGAATAGTTACTGTTTTCCCGGTGTGTGTACATAAAGCCTAAAAAGGCTAAGAACATCTTGACCACCGACCCCGTATAACCACACTATAACATTTCCAATCGAGAGTGAAAGTAATTCGCAGAACAACAGAGCACGATTAATTCCGTTTCTCTCGACTCTCTTCGATTTCACCGAGAACTGAGATAATTTTAAAATAAGCTAACATATCTAGTTGTATTTTGTAAATAGGCTAAATGATCTTCGTTGCCTCTTCGGGGTGTTTAAAAAACTTTTCTCAGAGTTTAGTTTGCCCGTGAACGTCGTACGAAGCACAAGCACTTGACAATTTTAAAATTCTGAAATATAATGAAACATAATCACAAAATATAAGCCGAATACAGGTGGGTATGTTCTTTATTTTTGGAGCTAAACAAGAGTAAATAGTTTACATTTTCATAGCGTCAAAAATATATATGTATATTCGAATTTAAATTCGGTGTGGAAAAACAAGTATTTAACGTTAAGTTCGAGTTATATAATTAATGTTAACAAAATTGCCAGAGAATGTCAACAAATGCGATGCATTTTCTAAGTAATTGGGCACAACTTAAAAGTTTCCAGGCGGCAATAATATAGAAACTTACATCTTAACTTACATTAGTTTTGCCACAAAACATTATTATTTGCAGAATTTGTCAACGAATTCCTTTTTAACGTAATCAAAATAACATGAACAACTATCTAAATGCGCGCAGTTGTGGGACGAAAAAAAAGTCCCTTACAGATTTCTACTTATGTTACGAGAAGTAAAATACTCTCTTGCTTGCTGTGATATCACCATCTTGCTCTCGAACTCTCCTGCTATTAGATTGGGTAAACCAAAATATTTATTTCGTTATTTTGAGAGAAAGAAAATATCCACAGAGCCAAAAAACATGAAAATTGGTGCGCCAGAAATAGCGCCACCCACTGAAAGTTTTAAAAACTAAATTGACTTACAGAGTATTTATAAAAGAGATAGCGATGAACCATTGTGTGCCAGTTCTTTAAATCACTTTCCTTGTTTTCAGAACCTCATGGACAAGTCAACGCGGCCTAAACGAAATCGTCGTCACAGCAGGTAAGATTTAAATCAATTATTTATGGATTTTGTTATTCTTTCTGCGCGCTTTTTCAGACGAGCCTGGCCGCCGGAGGAGGAGCTGCATCCAGCAACCCGAGCCACAAAGAGGTTATTTACTCCCGACATTAAGAGGATGCTAAAGGACTGGCTAATTCGTCGCCGGGAGAATCCTTATCCCAGCAGGGAGGAGAAAAAACAGCTTGCTGCGGAGACTGGGCTTACCTACACTCAGATCTGCAATTGGTTCGCAAACTGGCGAAGAAAGCTTAAAAACTCGGAGCGAGAGAAAGCCAAGAAATCCTGGGGTCATCTGATCAAAAATTACAACCACAATGCACGGGGTAATGTGGAACAATTTAGCATCTCGTCGGAGGATAGTATTTGGGAGGAGGAGGTGCACTCATGTCCTGCGGAGGATGACGAAGGCGACGATAATGACGAGTTTTCAAGCCACAGCACTGGTAGCGATGGCAATGCCAATAACGAATCTTCCTCCCCATACAACCCGATATTGTTTGTGGGATCTGCAGGTTTGTCAGGGCGGATACCAATTTTATCAGAAGCACAAACAAGGGGCAGGGCCAAGTACAAGCACCAGATGATGGAAAAGTATCTGCGGGATAGTTCCACGGCGAATACGACCAGTCAACAAGGCACGCAACTCAACAAGTGGCTGGAAAGTGCTGCAAAATTCACACCGGACAGGAACAATTATCACATCGAGTGGAATACGAGCAGGTAATATAGTTCGGGGCTGCCATTGTTAATTGTGATAATAAAACGATTCCATTTAGGCAGAAAGCAGGCAGTAACAGCAGTTGCGGACAAGCGATCTTTACCAACGATGTGTCTGGGGCTGGTCGTGGTGATCGCTGGATGGTTCATCATAAGGACGAATTGGAAGCGGCAGAGGCCTTGGCCAATCTCGCCTTCAACTGCAGGCAACGCTGGCACCATATCTAAAGACTGAAGACTCCGGAACTGACGCCATCATTCCAGCAGAAGTTTCAGGCCCCGTTGGAAAGTACAATCTAGTCAAATGGGCTTCTTTTGGTTTTCATTTTCAGACTTTACAGTACAATAATCACACGTTACCAGGATTTTCTTCAACTTTTAGCTACACTCATTTAAATTATGTGATAAATTAAGACGATCATATTTATGTGGACATGAAAACCAGATTGCGCCGAGAGTTAACAATTACTACAGCTAGTTTAGAGTGAAAAACAAATATATAATTTTTGTTTTCTTGTTATTTAACAAATATGACTCATTTGGACTTCTACGTAGACTCCGGCGTTTCCTCCTTAACTTGGTTTTTGGCATGGACATCAAGAACTTGCACAAAACTATTCTGATGCGCCTGCAGTTGCTGAATAAGGTGGCCAGGAGCTTGATTTAGAGTCTGGACAAGTTGTGCCTGGGCCGCGTGCAGACCGGGCATCTGGGCGTAGGCCACAAACTGGTTCCTATTCAGCATGGTCTCCTCCACGATGCCTCCCAGCAGGACCATTTGCGGAACCCTGCGTACGATTCGTAGCAGTGCGGCAGTCTTTTGCGTGTCCGGTGAGAAGACGATGCAATGATTGGAGTGGAACAGCGGCAGAATCGCCTCGTATTGAGTATTCTTTACCGCCTGTTCGATAATCTTGCTGCCGTAGGACTTGAGGTGCAAGTTCTGTTTGTGCAGCTGAACGCGCACGCGGAATATGTCATCGGCGGTGATAGAATTTAAGTGAAAGAAGGCCACAAGCCGAGAGTGTTCCAGCCAATTGCGCACCTCGCGTGCGATGATTTCGTTGTATGGATTCTCCTGCTGTTGTTTCGTGCGCTCAGCACGCGTTTTGAAGCAGCTCTTAGCCTTTGGGAGCTCCGGATATTTCGGCTGGGTGACTGCGACTACACGGGCACGCTCGTAGTGCGGCGCTTTCGGTCGCTGTATATTGATCTTACCCCTAAAGCGAAGGAATTGTAGCGCAGGAGTACTGGTCTTGGCCAGGGGAAGGCCTAAAATCATTTAAAATCAGTAAAAGGCCCAACAAACACGTTACAGAGTTACACAACAATTGTCTTGAGCTAGGCCAAGCCAAAAAATACAACCTTTAAAAACCGTGCAACTTACTCCTTTGTATTAGGGTCGTCATGCTGTATAACTGCTTTAAAGTTTCCAATCTCTAAAAGTAGGAACTTCTTATTTAACTTTATTTTTACTAAAACGATGCTTATGCTTTTTTTATCGATAGCTAAAGATAATTGGTTCCATCGATGTTTCGCCGGTTGGCGTTGCCACCTCGTCTGGCCTTGCCTCGGTCGCAATATCTTTTAGTGCGGAAAAATTAAAAAAATATTTTTGACAAGAATAGTGCAGCGATCGTCACTAATTTTGTTTAGAAAGTACCGGAAAAATTCCGGGAGGGGTATGAGACAACATTTTTTTTCTAAGCCTGATTTGAGCTTGTGCTCCCGATTTTAAACGATCCACAAAGCTTATAGCTTGGTAAAAATAAACTCCAAAAAAACCTACAACGATTGCATAGGTATAGAATTTATTTAATTACAGTTATAACATTAACATCTATATATATATATGTATATATATAATGTATATATGTATGTATAAGTTGTATTTCGCTATGGGGTTCGATTTGGTTTTACGGCCCGAGAAACCTATAGAATCTGGGAGCGGAGAAAATAAATACAAACCAAGTGTATGAAATAAGTGTAATTTAATCGATTTCTTCAAAGTAACTTAGGAAATAACTAAAAAGTCTCTTAAATCATACAACTTATACATTAACATATGTTTAACAGCGCTTTCTATGTTTCATCTTGAAAACGTGTTCTTTTTATTTTTTGAATTATTCTCTTTTCAACTTCTTTTGTTTATCTGTTTCTGGGCGACCTTTTGTAGATCTGATCTCTCGTGTTCTTGTATCGTTAATTATGTTATATAATGTACAGATTTCCTTTTAGTTTAGTTTTAAAACATACAACTAAATACACGCTAAACACTAATTAAACTGTATTTACATTTTATTCTTGTTAGAGCCTAAATAATTTAAATATGTTACAGATGTATTTTTTTATTTTTTGTTTTTTTTTTCACTCGTGGTTCTGCTTTCTATATTATTCCGGTTACATAATTTACAAGTCGTGTGAAAACTTACGTTTAAATTTAGGGAGTGTTCAGAGAGGGTACTATATAGGTTTTTGTATTATTTTGTGAGTGGTATGTTTACGTGTTGGTTTTTTTGTAGGGTGTCAGAATAATGGTATAAACATAATGGAGGATCCTGAAACTACCCAACATTGTACAAAGTTTCGCTCACAAAAACTAAAAAGTGGGAGGAGATCGGAATACCTACATTTAGATTTATACCAGTGAGTTGTAGTTAGGTTTGTGGCAGTGGTGAAGGTGCTAAAAAATGTAAAGGGAAAACAAAAAATTGCCGTCTCTTGCTAACAAAAGACCCACAGTGTCAAATCGGAAACTATCGGAACTTTTACTAGAAGAGAAGAAACTCTGGTGCAGAGTGAAATAAACACGAGGTTAAACGTGTCTGTGCTCTAAAATAGTGGGCTTAACATATTAATTATAATAAAATACGCGTCTAGATAAATAATCGTAGTATAATGTATGTGTGTGTATGTTATCGTAGGAAAAGCCTCTGGGCGCATCTTTAAACCTAATTGTGCTTAACAGCATGGGCGACAGTCCGGACTCATCTAAAGTTCTTTGGGTCTATGTTAGGCCCCGTATACTAGTTTTATATGCAGGCATTCCATAGAGCCAAGGAATCGATCTGTCAAAAATAAAATGGTCGGTTGTTCGAAGGCGGAAACTTTGTATAACGAGGTGTAGTTACTTGTCTATCGAAGTAGTCGAAAGTTATTCACCAATAAAAACTTAATCGTGTTAGGATTAGGATCGAATATTAATATTATGTACGGGTAGTAGTATGCATAGTACAGTAAACAGTTAATATGTTGTAAGCTTTCTGTAACATTTCTTTCAATTTGTATGTGTAGGTTTTTTGTGTTTGTTTCTTTCCTTTTAAATAAGCAAAAATAAAACTTTCTTTCTTGAGATCAAACTTAACGATACTTTGCAAGCTTTTTCTTAAAGGTTTTTAATTACGGAGAGTTATATAATTAATTTAGACAAATATTTTGCTTTCAAAGTGTCGGAATTTAAAGGGTTTCTTTCATTTTGTTTGAGTCTCTTGGGGATCTCTTTACATTTATATGTGATCTTGGCCTCAATGTACTTTTGCATTCTTGCATTTATTTATTTAAACTTTAGTTTGCATGTTTCTGCTTTTTTAAGTTGTTTTGTTGTGTTTTGTTTTCCTTTGCTTTTTTAAACTTTTGCTTGTTTAATCGCTATTTAAAATTACTTAAAATACTAGAAGAGCGTAACATGTTTTGTTGGTTTCTTTTTTCTGGTTCCTCTTTTGTTGTTGTATAAGCCTGTGAAGTTTAACATCTGGGTATATTTTGTTGTTCAAAGTCCGTTGGTTTTGTATTTTTCAGTGGTTTAGACAGTGGCGATGACAATCAGGAGGTGTGCCAGCTCGGCTACGCGATTCTTAAGATCCGGAGCGGCACGCTCTAGGTTTTCATTAGCAAAATCGCATGACGGAAATATGTGTACCACGAAGGCCGCTTGCTCACTTCCTGGAATGGGTATGTTTACAATGCCAGCTGCCATTTTCTGTTGCAAATAGGTAATGAAACCGGTCTGGAGGTTCCTCGAATGCTGTAGTACATCGGCGTGATCTCTTCCGCATGGCAAAGCCAACAACATGCAATGCTCCTTGTCCACCTGGGGGTTTTAAGGGAAAGATATTAGTGATGTTCCACCTTTCAAATCCATATTCCATGCAAAGCTACATGTTTTATTTGTATATACATACCTGCATCTTCTTGGCGACTCCCTCCAGTTGTGTCTGCTCTAGTCGCATTCTTTGCGCAATCCTCAGCAACGGTGTATTTGTCTCCACCAAACTGGGAAGCGACACTCTTGCCACATCAGGGTTTCCATGCACAAAGTGCATTTGGACAGCGGCCTGATCTGTTTTAAGGGCCAGTAAGCCCTGCCACATTACCGGATAGCGCTGCAGCAGAGTAACCAGCGAATCACCTGGTGGGGGGGCCATTGCTGGTGATGCTTGCTGGTTGGCCAATTCCATGCCTGCAGGCAAAGCAGGTGGCATATGATCCTGCTGTTGTTTAACTGCGATTGCAAAGTTAGAATATTCGTTAAATATATTTTATTTTATTTTATTGGTTCACGGTCAGCAGATACTTACCGACAGCTGCAATCATTGACATGCGGTCCATCTCATCCAGCTGCATATCCATTGCCTTGCCAGGGTGATGGTGGCTTCCTGGCTGCACGCTGCCATCACGTCCGATAAACGGACTTCCAGAGGAAACTGCAGGCATTTGCTGTGGCACCACCACACTAATGGTTGCAGTTGGGCGATGGGCCGGCGGTGGTTCCAGTTGTAAGCCACCACTCTCGTACAAGCCCCTTGATGCAATTTCGCTGAAATGGGCAGGGGGAATGCGCGTATTGTGTACGTATACCTGTGCCATTTGCGGAGAGTCTGAAAGAAATAATTTGTTGCAGGTTGTTATGAGATTTAAGGAGTCACTAGGCATAAGACTATGATAACTTACCAGCTGCTGTGCGATCCTGGGGACTCTGCAAACTGTGGGGAACTGCGATGGTCCTTGGAGGTCCACTACCAGGGCGTCGTAGCTCTAGCGGCGGACTGCTGCCCATCTTATCATCGTAGTCGCCACTTCGCATTAAATGATGCTGGTAGAGCATAAAATCCCTGGATGCAGCCACTCCTCGATACGTAGAATCGTTCTGAAAAAAGTTGTGGCAGACAATTTTTTTGTAAGAAAGTGCTTTGATTGCAGTACTCAAATTAATATGACTACACGAAGAACTTAATTTGGTTACGCTACATGAAAGCTCCGCAAGTAAAACTTGTGTATTACCGGTGTTATGGGCGAAGCCTGCTGATGAGCTGGAGGCGGACTCTGGGTTCGCCGTCCACTGACATAAGCACCCAGGTCATGCTGAATCCAAAGTTAGCAATTCGATTGTAAAATAATTTAAGGGTTAGTATTAAACTTAATTTAGATTTTCGAAAGGTTAGCCATAATTAAGTCTAAATGAAGATGAATCTTTAAGACTTCTGTAGTTCGCTTAAATTAGGAGTATTATTCGTTGTTACTT